TCAGTGATTTCACTAACTAGAGATTGTTGTGTTTGTGTATAATAATGTAACGATTGTTTCAATTTAGTCATGATACCTTATAGATAAAATCTTAAATGTTTTGTGGTTGGTTGCTTATTAACTGTAGAAGGTTTCGGGCTTGCGGAAACCTCCAAAGTCCACATACCAGAAAACACCTTCAGTTTTACTTTTTGTCCGACTTATTGGCTTAAATAATTCAAACACAATTAAACTGCACCTTAAAACTGTTTTCCCAAATCATTGTTGACATAATTTATCAGAGTATGATCAACCTTTGTATTTGTTTCAAGTTCATTACTACGTTTCTCGTCGTTTATTTGATTAAGTAAAGCGACACTATGAAGGTTTCTTTTCAAAAAAAAAAATCATTCAACAAATAATAGGAACCTTAATTCTGTTATTTGTTTGTAGTTGTGACTTCTGGCATATCCTTATTTCGTAAAAAGGAATGTGATCGGGAATCGTCTATTTCTATTTTTGATGCATTCCCATCATAAAATGAGGTCAAGGAGGTGAAGGAGTCATATGTCATTTATTGCGGTTAGTTAATGACTCACAAAATGACATTGGACCAGCTTAAGAAATTAAGTAATTATTGCCGAGATCTATATCTTGCCTTAAATTATATTAAGGACCTGTTACACATAATTACAAATAGAAGTATTATAAAGTCTCAACTAAATCGAAATTGATTTTTAATTGGTTTCATAAAGTGCTCCAAGAGAGAGGCATAAAATATAAATTATAAAACAAAATTGGAGGCCACATTCTACAAATTTGTATGAAAAAACAAGGACATTGATTGCACCGTCGAAGATAAGTAGTAGCAATGGGTGGACTTGATATGGTTGTATCAATTATTTCAAACGTAAAAACACCTGGATATTTTTCGTCCGTAGTTGATTTAGTTCGAGTTGTAATACTATACCTGTACATTGTTCACTTATTAAAGCCGTCAGACCGTTTCTACAACGATTCAATCATATCTAGTTATATGAATCAAGTTAGTATCCCAAGTAATTTATCTTATATTAACTTTTTTTTCTCTGTACATTTGCTTGAAATCTCCACTTAATCGACTTGACCGAAAGTTATTTCATGTACTTTTTTTGTGTATGTTTGAGTTGGCAATTGGTCCTGGATGGGTCAGGCTAAGGTTTCGTATACAGACCAGCGTATACGGGTTCACCTAATGATGAGGGTCACCGTCAGGTGATCATAGACGATAGAATCATATGAAACAGTTCCAGAGAGGATTCTCCGTAGAGCATACGGTACAAAATACGAGAGGAGAATTGGAAAGAATTAAGAGAATTAAAATTTTCCAGATAATTCATGAGAATTGGTCCACCGATAATACGAACAGCCCTCTTCTAGGTGAAGTAAAATGTAGGAATAATAATAACCGGTATTTAGGAACCCCATCTCAAAGATGACGTTACCACCAGTGCGAGCATCCGGACGATGACACTCAGCACGCGCTCGAAGAGTGCCCGCGTTGGGAGCACTCTCGGCGAGATATCGTCGAGCTGCTGGAGAGAGAACTATCCTTGCGGGCTGTCGTCGCCCGCATGTTAGAGGTCTAGAACTAGTGGAAGGCCATGGCCAGGTTTTGTGACCTGGTCATAGCGCTTCGTGAGGCTGCGAAGAGCGAAAGGGAGTGACATACCTCTTTGGCACATCAGCGCAGAAGGTGGGGTGGGCGGCGCGAGCGTGAAGCTCCCGCTCAGGCCCCAAAGGGGCTGTCGGGTGTCGAATGCGGGGGCGCCCGGTACTGGACTGTCGGTCCGGTGGTGAGGCGGTGCAAGATGGTTTCTGTGCGCCGCCCCAGTGTGTCTCCCATGACGACGTCCTTCGAGATATTCCCGGAGACGAAATCCCGTCGTATTATCAGGACGGGTACCGGCGAAGGCGGACTTCCAGCGCGCACTGCAGTAACAGTTTGGTGTGACCGGTGAGGTGGAGCTCGATGGAGTTTAGTCTGTAGTTAGTTTTACGGGGCCAGCGCCTCACGCGCCTGTTTCAAGCCGTAGTCTCCTGCGATAAATTTGGGAAGGTGGAGGACTTTGGCCCCCTCGTCACCTCTTCCTCTCTGAAGGCGCCGGAATCCGACATAATGCGGTCCGTAGCCCCCCTCGACAGGGTACCGTATATCCGTAACTGAATTCCCCAACGTTAAGGTTTTCACAATTGTACCTATATAAGTCAGCTTTTATGTAATACAATTGAATCCTCATGTCTTAAGATTCTGAGCTTTCGTAACCTAACTCCTGGTAATCAGGTGGGTATTGTGGTACTGTAATGACCATCAAATCTCAGCAATATTAAGCTGTTAATAATAATAAAGTGACCTAGATAACCTACAACGTTTCTTTAATGTTCATTTACTTAAAATCGCAAGATACAGGAACAAGAGGTCTTTCATTATTCAAACAGTTTTGTACGAGCTTTGATTCTATAAATAATTGAACCATTGCCACTTAAATGATATAAATCAATGTTCTCTATTATAAAAACTAAATATAATAGTAATATAACGTCTTTAAGTTGTGTATACATATTATCATTGTATGTACGTATATTTTATGGATACTATCGACACGCCATGTTATATTTATATATTCATGACATACTTTTTTTTAAACTAATTACACAGAAACTAATATCTTCCTGAGATGATTCTTGTCCAGCTATTGGTTTTCTGCAAGAGATCTCTCTCGGTAATTAAATTTCACTTTTTTTTATCAAATCTTAAGCGTTTTTTTTTAGTTGTTTGGTGTACAATAAACCATTCTCAATCAGTGTTGTAATTTATTCTTGAAATAATGATTATATTTACGGAAACATGGTGTCGCCGTTGGCCCCGTCATAAGAAGTTACCGGAACAGCCGAAGTCTTTATATTATTTAAATATATTTTTAAAAAATGTAGTGTCTGAGTTCTGTGTCGTATATTACAGTAAAAAGGAAAGAGCAGCCCTGAAAAGCATATAGCTCATCTTTTTTCCCCTACCTAATCGTCGTGAGCCTAAGGGATTGCTCCAACTACGCATGGTTTTGTAGGTGAGTTCATGGGGCTCAACCTGGCAGGATAGGAAACACTAGCCATAGCAAGAGCAGCGCTTCGCTATGTATTTATCACCGAATATACTGGTGGAATTTATACTGGTGGTAGGCCCTCTTTAGAGTCCGCACGGGTAGGTACCACCACCCTGCCTATTTCTGCCGTGAAGCAGTAATGCGTTTCGGTTTGAAGGGTGGGGGCAGCCGTTGTAACTATACCTGAGACCTTAGAACTTATGTCTCAAGGTGGGTGGCGCATTTACGTTGTAGATGTCTATGGGCTCCAGTGAACACTTAACACCAGGTGGGCTGTGAGCTCGTCCACCCATCTAAGCAATAAAAAAAAATCGGAATCGCGATTCACAATTCAAAATTTCGGGTTCGGATCCGGAATTGCCCTGCTATGGCGGAGCAACGCCACCTCGTCATAAAAATAGGACTAGACTCGTCGGTGACGACGGTCGTGGCTACGATGATCGACTTCTGCTAGTCCACCATCTCCCAGAAGGAAGCGGCGGAACGGGAGAGGGAGAGCACTTCTTTCCTCTCGGTGCCATGCCGAGTTGGCGTTTAGGGATGGGCGTTCGTCCCTTGTGAGAAGGCAGTCTTCTCCCACTGTTGGTCACAGAGCAACCTGTAGGGATCGAGTCTGCACTGCGCGCTACCATCACTCTAGTGCACTGGCATCAGGAGGATGAAACGTCACGTTGGCGGTTGCGGTCCGCGATGTAGTCCACGTTGCTATCGTCACTGTAGTCGCCGGGCTTACTATGAAAGAACAACCCGACCGGCGGTGTATCGCGTTCTGACCCGGTTCTATCGCTACGAGGACCGGTCGGGCGTGCTCGGGGTGACACCGCGAGTCTGGTTGTAGTGTTGACCGCGGGAACCTCCGTACTCTGCTCATGCTTAGATTCCGTGCAGAAATCGGGCGTTGGGTGAGGGAGTGCAAAGGAAGTCGTTGGATTGACAGGGCCCTAAAAATATTCTTGGGCCCGCCGTCTGCTCCCAACATCTGTAGACCATCAAGTCCCACATACGCCGCGTGAAACTCGTATGAGGTTCCCTGCCCGATAATAAAATAAATAAAGTATCAGAACGTCAGGACATGAAGCGATTCAGTGTCATCATCATCATCATCAGCCTGTATCTCTCCACTGCTGGATGTAGGCCTCTCCCATAGTCCGCCACAATGAACGATCCTCCGCCTTCCGCATCCAATCTCTCCCAGCATATCGCCGCAAGTCATCGGTCCAACGGGCAGGGGGACGCCCAACGCTGCGTTTACCAGTGTATGGGGTATGCATCTCCAGACGATGGGTAGTACAACCTGCCTATTTTAATCGTAAAACAATCATACGTTGCAGTTTGTAGAACAGACGTTATACCAATATAGATGAGTATTCAATCTCATGTTTCAGAGTAATGTATATCAACTAACAGACAGGAACTACGACTTACTAATAAAAATATACTTTAACATTTTATGATCATTCTTCCGTTAATCGTTTAGATTTTAGACTATTATTTCACGTCACGAAATAGATAACTAATTCTGAAGAGTATCATTATTTTAACTATCTATAGTAGTATTTATCATTAATTGAAGCCACCAAAAAACTGAATACACTTAACAGATGAATTTATAAAGATTCTAAATACTGAGAAAAAAATCATTTATTTCATCCTGGTAACGGAGACCACTAACACTTACGACACTTCATAGCTTACTACATAAGTTTGACAAAAAAAGAGACTTATTATTCAAGAAAACTAAAACGTTTAAAACAAAAAAATCCATAACAATAAATCCTCAGCTAGACATGCGTAACAAAAGTCGACGGTTTACTCGAGTAAGCACAACAATAGGTGTTTTTTAACAAAAAATAATATTGAATTTACGTTAAATTATTTCAGATAAGGAAAAGACGGCCGTCCTCGAGAAAGGCGTCTACATTATACACGCCGATGAGGAACTAAAAACGTGAGTAAGTACTTTTGGTAGCGCGCTCTACATATTTGTATATGCGATACAGATATTCGCGATCTCAATTATCTTAATAAGCTCAGTCGTAATTAAATATAACGTAGACATGAACGAAGAAGACTGCTTTATAGTCAGGATAGCAGACGACGTTAAGGACAGTATGAATCAATCACTGTAAGGGAAACTTACAATATTTTTTTGTAAAAATTTATAAAATTCTAAACGCGTATTAAATTACAGGCCAGACTTGTCACCTACCAGTACCGATACCGAAAAAAATACCTCAAAGGATAATGTGAAAAATAAAAATACTTGGTTCCATACCTCGACTCCAACAGTTGTTCATTTTTTGGCATTAATTACTCAAGGTAAGCAGCTATTTTAGATTATTATTCGTGTGAATTTTGTAAATTGTAATTTAAAGAATTCTATTTTTGCTCAAATAACATTTTTCGTAGCCCTTTTATGTATTTTACAAATAAATGTAAGTAGTTATTAAATAACTCAATTTAATAATAGTATTTTTAGAGTAACTCAAACATTTGAAACACATGATTTTCTTCCAGCACAGTCCCTTTTTATTACTTAAAACTATTCTTCACACTTATTTTTGAAATAGTAAACGTGAACTGAACCTTGAAACTTTTAATTTTAATGAGAATTCATTTAAATTCCATTACATTAAGGTCCGTATTCTTTTTTTTTTAAATTAAAAGTCTTCTTGGTCCTTTTATAGATTATTCAAACCGTATTTTCTTTTTACCTGTATTCTATAGGCTCAGACCGCCACTTAAAATTAGGTAGGCCGTGAGCCCCTCTCTTCTCTGTAGTACATACAATTAATTTAAAAAAAATAGAAATATAAATTTTGACCTGTACAATAGAATACAATTTTTGTTTTATACAATTTCATTGAAGTCCAATTACTAATCGGTATTTAAGAGAATTTTCTCAAACATTTCTTGGAACTAATAAGCAATAAGACACTTAAAATAAAATTTAGAATTTTTATTACTTCTTATTTCACAAAAGATTAAACAAATTCCTTTTATTTGTCTGGGAATTTTCATTAGGCCCTACCAGTGAATTCCAGTAGTGATACGTGTACAATAATAATTAAACATGTCTTCAATTACTACGTTTTAAGAGAATCAAGGACCCAATTGAAATGACAACGCTCTGCAAAATATCAAATTTAAAATCTAAAACCACATCTAAAGATGCTAAAGACGACTAGGGATGAAACAACTTTTCACATAATGTTTCTCTGCTAAAATGTAATTAACTTTAAATTCAAATAGTACGAACACGCATTGATCTGTGAATTATGATTATTTAAATGAATGAATATGTTTTCGCATACACAAATTCCGTGCGTAAAGCCGTTAGTATTTTTAAATTTAATTTTATGGTCAATCTCGCTTTTTTGTTCTTATGATATTGTTTTCGACGTTTCTAATACTCCACTACTTTTGTGGATACAAACATCTGACGTACTTTTATCAAATGAAAATTTCGAACCGAAGAAAGACTATCGCTATTATTTAAATATGTACGATTATAATGCACTTAATAATAAAGTATGAGTCACATTCAAAATTTAGTATGTTTGTACATGTAAAAATTACTCTCAAAATGTTACTTATAAAGTGAACGATGAATATAATTTAAGAAAAATTATATAATCATCAAAATTATTATATTTATTATTATTTACAATTATTAGTAATATTTATTACGCCCAAAAACTAAATCAAAACCTACTCTGATAGTATATTGTAATATGTTATTACGTATTTAATGTAAGTTAATTTATTTAATTTCAGTAAATTAATTTAATATCAGTTTTAATAAATTTTATATTTAAATCTCTTATCACGTGTCTGCTGGAAGAAAGTTCACAAAGAAATAAGCAGTGCCTTAATTTTCCAATTTATGGTTTTATTTTTCGATTTTTCAGTGTTTATTCATTATGTGCATAAATAAACAAAAAGAGAGCTAATCAAATTTATACTAACTTCAGGTAAAAAAGGAGGGATAATTCGAGGCGTATTTTATTTTCTTGATTAAATTCGGACCCTCCATAGAAATCTAATGCTTTCCAATTCGTAGCGAACAAATTTATGTTCAAAAATCGACATCAGTATAAATGCGTTACTCAGGTCTTTTAGTTTGGGGGCTACTTTGGCTTGCGTGGGGAGACGGGTGGAGTTGGAATGGAAAATGGTTCAAACCAGCAGTCGTTGTGGTTATCGCATGGAGCAGCGGACAACTCCTACAGAGACTCACTACGCTCCCTCCACTTCTGGCTGCTATACTAACAGGAATCCTTGCAAGAAATTTAGGCTACCTCGACATGCGAGGATACCCACACGTGGACAACTTTTTAAGGTACATTCGAAATAATTTTTCATTACTTGTTAAGTTTATTAAAGGAGATAATGTATTTATTTATTATTATGGATTAGCAAACGAATAAAATTAGACTATCAATAAACAATGTCAAGGCATTGCTAACTGACTCCCAACTGCATTCAAAAATATTTCACAATATTTGCAAAGTAAAGTGTGTACTACGTTTTTCAATATTGGTATAGTCCTAGTTTTCGATAACTTCTAAAAAATAGGAAGGCTTGATTCACAGGTTCGTCTGTTGTATTCTGAGGCTTTATCTGTTGTACGATTTGATATTTTAGACTTTCAAATAACTAGAAATTCTTGATTAGCATAACGAGAAATTCTTGAATAGCATCACAACGTGGATACTGCCACTCAACTTTCGGCTTACATGAGATCGAAAACTCAGTTGTGCTGTCCCATGTTTTAAACAAGAACGTATGACTACTCTGCGACATAAATAATAAGACGATAGTACATACCAGGCTTAAAAAACGCCCTAAAAATTTCTCGGCCTGAACCCTTGCGCTCACCTGGTCTGGTGAATCGGGAACGATTTTCGAGCCAGAAAAAAACCAAGGACAAATCAAGAAAAAAAATACAAGCAGTAATTACGTCAATTTACAAAATTCTAATATCTAAACTAATATTAACAGAATAAAAAAAATAGAACATTACATACTTTAAAAATATAGATTATATTACAAGATAACAACTACAAAACTTTTTAGAGAAATTCTTATTTGAAGTTCAAATATTTATGATCAAGATGCGCTTGTTTATGTGTTTCCGGTAACGATAATACAGGAGAAAATCATTAGCTTGGGGCTACTAAAATCTATGTAATGACTTGATATACAATTACTTCGCTATATATCAGCAATGTATTTGCACATAAAACGCTTCCTGTTTTTTTTTTGTACGCCGGCTAGTTCCTCTCTTTCAATTATTTTTCAAATAAACGAACGTTAATACTATGCGGATATCGATTGCGACTTTGTCTCACGTAGTAAATTAAAACAAACTTTTATACGTTTTGCGCAAAATAAACAAAAAGCAATATAATTGTGAGTAACGTTTAAGCAACTACTAGATGCTACTGATATTTTCTTTAAATCGCCTACAAACAAAGATTTAAATCTTGATAAGAACAATTTGTCTAACTACTGTTTTTCATTTTGTAGGAAAATTTACCCAGTGATAATTCTTGGCAAGTCATCTCTGGGTTGGGACTTAAAATTTATGAAGGCCAATTGGCGTCAAGTTTTCAGCCTCGGTGTGGTACCCTGGACGGCTGAGGTTCTCGCTCTCGCGACATGCTCGCGGTACTTCCTCCATTATCCCTGGGTTTGGGGTAAGCAGCATCAAGTTTCAACAACGACTGATTGTGATATTTGGCTTCCTACTGTGTCTTCCTAACATACTTTACCCAAGTTACACTTTTAGTAATTCAATCTAGACATTCGAGAAATAAGGTCCGATGTGTATGAGGGATATGAATTTATTATTGAATCTGTAGATAAACATACGGTCCACCTGTTCATGAATGGTCCTTATCACTCATGGACGTCTGAAATGCTAGGGACACAGCCAAGTCTCCACTTGCCACTGAGAATTATCCTCGAACCTCGTTTTAAGAAGAATATGCCATAGCTCTGAGGAAACGCCCATTACGAATCCTACAATAGCTAGTCTCATCAATTGCCACTCAGATACCTGCACTCAAAAATTAATAAACATAAGCATTACCATCGAAAAATCATTATAGAAATTGTTAACTGAAATGGACTCGACATTCTATGATACGATTCCATAATGCGTCACAAAACACTCGTGATAAAATAAAAATCTGTCACGAACATCGAATACAATGCCGATTGCGATCGCACTTTTGTATGGCCTCAACTCAATAAATCCCGGTGCGAGGCTGGTTTTGTGAAGATTTGAATGAATTTTCACCGCACTAAAGACTTATGCAGCGCCCTGTGAGCGCAGACTTTGCACAACACACCTGTAATTACGTACACGAACTGATTCCAATGAAAGTGTTAAACCGAACCAATTCTGGATTTCAAAATTGGGTAGTTTTTTTTTTTTTAAAGTGATTATAATTTCAGATTGCTTTTTTATGGATGAGCAAGCTTCTTGCTCCTTTTTATGTGCATATTAAGTGATTATCAGAACCCATAGGATATCATAACGTGAGTGTCGCCACCTTGTAGCGGGTAATTCAAGGTGACAACGTTCACATAGTCCATCTACGACTGTAAAAAATCCTCGCTTTACCCTTTCATCAAATTCAATCTTCTATTTTGCTATTTCAAATGCTTATTGATAGAAAAATAACCTTTCACAGGCATTCTCCTTGGGTCTATCTACGCATCTTTGTCTTGTGCTGTGGTGATGCCCTCAGTATTAAAAGTTGGGACTAGTCCAGATAGGACCCACAACTGGCCTCAGTTGTGCTCGACTGCCGGAGGAATCGATACTGCACTCAGCGTTGGAATATATGGGATCGTTTATAGCTACATTTTCAGTGATGTGCACGATGCTTATCGATACACTAAAGTGAGTTTTTTACTTCTGTCGTAGGGCAAACGAGTTCATATTATTTCATTACTGAATTAGTACTAGGAACTACTAGTGGTGGTAGGACCTCTTCTGAGTCCGCACAGGTAGTGCATTTCGGTTTGAAGGGTGGGGCAGCCGTGGTAACTATACTGAGACCTTAGAACTTATATCTCAAGGTTACATTGCAGGCAGCAGTTACATTGTAGATGTCCATGGAATCCGGTAACTGTTTAATACCAGGTGGGCCGTGAACTCATCTGCACACCTAAGCAATAAATAAATAAATAAAAGAAAGACTGCGAAAATTAGCATAACATACACAAGCAATGCATACCTATAAATTTAAAAATCGATGTGTATGTGTTCTCGATAGATGGGTTTACTGATTTCTATGAAATGTTCAGAAAATCTTCAGATTCAAATAGAGGATGCTCCTGTAGTGATCCTTAATTTGGTAGCAATCAAAGTCAAATCAAAGTTGGTCAGCAAAGCGGGCCGAAATTGACTAATTTAATTATACAATTTTAATTAAGAATACCAACAAATTTATTTGCATTTCAATATCTAACCTTCTCATAACACAACATTAAAAAATATGGCAGCTATCATATTCGTATTACGAAGTTCTATGTCATATACTCGTATTATATTAACTATAATAGAATAGAATAATTAGATCAGTACTTTATATTCTGTCAAAAAAGTTTCGGGAATGAATGTTTTCCTTAAAATTCAAAAATTCTTTTTTTTGTTGTTGTTCTTAAAATGGCACATCTGTTTTCCATTTTGGTGCGAAGTTTGAGTTACATCTATTATTTAGATTAACCACAGTGCTGTTTTAGTTATTACATTTAGTGTGTATTGAGATTTTCAAAATAGACAAAAATATCGAACAAAGAGTTTGACTTAAATTTAACATCGCCAATGGAATGTCCATGTTCGGAGTTGCTGAAAATGTTACAGAAGGCTTACTGTCAATCGACTTTATCAAAAATATGTGCTTTTAAGTGTTATAGAGCATTTAAAGCAATCGAGATGTGATAGAAGATTTGCTTGGCTCTGGTAGGCCATTAACGTCTCGATGGGGTTTAGTCGGTAGTCGATTTTGCAGGGCGGGTCCTGCGTGGTTGACGCCGCGCAGCGCCTCGCGCGCCTTTCTCAAGGCGCAGTCTCCCGGTAGGAATTGGAAGAAGAGGAGGACTTTGGTCTTCCTCTTCTCCCTCTTCTTCACTGGAGGCGCCGGAGTCTGACATAACCCGGTCTGTTACCCCTCTCGACCGGGAATCCGTAAACGGATTCCACAGCGTTAAAAAAAGAAAAAAAAAGCCATCAACGTCTGCAACTGAAGTTAACACTGCGAAAGTAAAGGAAATAGTGACTGAAAATATCCTCATTCAAGTTTGAGAAAGATAACCGCCGAACTTTCTGTATCTCAATAGTCGATCCCCACCATCTTAAATAATAATCTAGTATTGAAACATTTTACCGCTTGGCTAACCCCAAAAGACCTGAATTTTCTCGAAAAACTCAATCTCATAAGAGTACACATTATTCATAATTTCCTGGCACTTTCACTGACCGAATAGTTTAAAGGTCTTGTCCATTATAGAACGTAATTGAACCAAACTCGAAACCAAAGATAAATAACTATGCAAAAAATACTTTTTACTTACTACTTATTTTCTCTGTTGAAATACTAATCGTTTAATGGCAACAGCATTCTATAACACCCGACATGACATAGCATTTGAATCAGCCTGCTGACTTTTTCACTTTATTTTCTCAGCGGACTGCGATTTCAGTACGGTAGTAGATGGAAAGCATTTAGCCCTCAGGCGTTAGGTCTCTTTAACAAACCCAATTCCCCCTGGCTAAGTCCGTATTTGCACATTCGTCTTAATGAACCTTATAGCACCAACGATCCTCCCATCAAATAGCAATTCGTTTAAATTGACTTATATTTTGGTTTAGAGTTCGCCAACATACGCGTAATCGGATTTAACAGAATTACCCCATAATTACTAGAAGTTGTGCGTTACAGGTGGCGTTGACCTTATTCGTCGGAGTCGCTATGGGTATCGCTTGGGGCAGTCTCGCAAAATTGATACCTCACTCTCGAGACCCCTACGTTACTGAATTGAGGGTTCTCTTCGTGTTACTCGGTGGACTGTTTGGAAACTTTTTGACGCTGCACTTGGGCTGGGGCGGCGCTGGTGAGTACAACGTTATAAATTTGATATGTATCGCTTATTTTAATTTTATTAAAGATAGCTTAATAGAAATGAAGCATTTTAATAATTATAGATATGCGTCAGCCAAGTATCTCGTTTTTTTCTGAAAGCGAAAATGTTGACGAGTGCCTACTCAAGCAGGCAGTTAATTTTTGCGAGAATTGGTGTAAAACATATTACGTGCCTGTTGTTAAATTGTTGGAGTTAATGTTAATATAATAAACTCTATTGTTTCGATGTAATAATATATGTAAATAACAATTCAATTGATAGCCCCCTCCTTCTCTTTGAGGTCAATTAATGAGCAGACTTCTGATTATTATTCTTAAGATTCTTTTTTTTTCGTGAATCTACAAATATTACAAACAAATTTTGTATTGAAGAGAAGAACAAGAATAAAATTAAGTTGACTACGACATTTTGTATGTACATACATAACATGCCTATGGTCTTTTTTTTTATGATTGAAAGATTACTGGTGGCCCGGAGGCCTTTCCAGCTTCACCAGGACAGGTGGGCGAGCAAAGGCTCAGCCAGGAGGGGTGGGATTTGCTAACAACTGCCTGAGCGCCTCCGAAGGAGACCTAACAACTCAAGAGCAATTGCTTCGCGAATGAATCTACTACCGGATCGGAATCGCGACCCACTGAGAAGATCCGGCGAGAAACTCAGCGGGCTGATGCATAGGTTAGGTTGCACGTCGACCTCTTTGTCGAGTTCGACGAGTACGGTTACCGGGGTTCCTCAGCCTGCTTCTAGTGTTAGAGCTGAAGGTATCTAATGCAAGAGTTATTGGATCAGATGGATCCGTAAGGACGTACCACTCAATGTAAAGTACTCGCAAGTAAATTATGCACTCTTCCGATATTTCATAGGTCTAGTACTAAAACACAATCCTCCTCAAATAATTGTCTGTTGTTTAACACATACTCTTTTTTTATAGTTTAGATGGGTGGACGATCTCACCTGGTGTTAAGTGGTTACTGGAGCCCATAGACATCTACAACGTAGACGCGCCACCCACCTTGAGATACAAGTTCTAAAGTCTCAGTATAATTACAACGGCCGCCCCACCCTTCAAACCGAAACGCTTTACTGCTTCACGGCAGAAATAGGCAAGGCGGTGCTACCTATCCGCGCGGACTCACAAGTGGTCCTACCACCAGTATAATATATACTCACTTCGTTTCTTCCTCTTAATCCGAAATTAATTGATTAAGATAGCATTCATGTTCACGACCATCGGTCCTGATACCCTAAGAAGGCGACTGAAATGCGGTTAGTGCTCTGTTGATCGATTGTGGTAATCAATCATAGTCGCTATGGAAACCAAACGAAATCTTGCGACTTGGATATTAATCGGTCAAAAACCAAGATTTACGTCAACTTGAAGATAACAACTGCAAACCACATAATAATATCGTCTTTCCGCATTAAAAGTGGACAATTTCCAAAAATATTCGAAATTGAGTTAATATGCGGAATCATTTGGTATAACTAATATTTTTCTCATAAACTGCCAAAAGAGCATAGTTTAGTTATAGTTTTTTTTTTAGTGTGCCTATATAAAATATTAACAAAATTGTATATATAATCTTACTTTAAAAGATAAATAATGCAACTGGTAAAAAATAAAAAATAAATGTTGCAAAGACGATTAATATTAAAAATATCACATGTTAAGCCTTTAAAACACTTTCCTGTAAAATTAGTAGGTTTTGAGATTATACAGTTTTAATGCGAGAAGACGATATATGTATTACAACCAAAACAGTTATTGCAACAACTTGACTGTGATTTTTAGTTATTCACAATTTATTAATTGACAAAATTTCATAAAATGCTTACTTACGGTACAAAGAACTGTTTGTAATATTAATGAACATTATTATTACATAAAACGTTGATTTTTTTTTAGTATTTTAATTACAATTTAATTTAAGGTGTATTACTCACGGCAATTCTAGAAATTTATTAAATAGTTGCACACTTGTAGGTCATGTTTTGAGCCATAAAAATTTGATAACAGCCTTCTGTCTTCAAAAGCAGTGTAACTGTTATTCAGAGCTAGGCAGCGGCTTGGCTCTGCCCTTGGCAATGCTGAAGTCCATGGGCGATGGCAACCACTCACCATCAGGTGGGCCGTATGCTTGTCTGCCTACAAGGGCAATAAAAAAGAAAGAAAAAAAAACTGAAATCTAGAATTACACCTTTAAGGTGGAATTCCAAATTTAACTCTTTTTGTGTGTCCCCAAAGTGTGTACCGGCATTCAAATTGTGATTCCTATAGATTCCTGTATCCCACTGATCAACATAAAAAAATATAATACATATTAATTAATTTCCCGAAATATCTCTATAATACAGCTTCAAAATTGAGCATTCAATGGGAAGCCACATAATAACGAAAATTAAAATTGAAACGGCCAACCATGATTAAACGCAGCTAACAATTGTAACAATTCAAAATACAGTGCGTTCGCGGTCGATTTCAACGAGGGCAAATCCATTTAGAGACCACATTCGTGTGGTCGCGCCCGTATTACATCTGCCGACAGACCGCATTTGAACGTTATGGGAAAATACCACTTGATATGCGTAGACATATTACCGAAAATTATGCAGAAAAAAAAAGAAAAGAAATTGTATTAACTGTAAAACTTGTATCTTTTAGTAATGTAACATTATTATCACTGTATTATCATGGTTATTGTTATAAATTGACAGACGAGCGGACAACCGACCTGGTACATCAAGAGCTCATTATCAGTGCTGGAACTCTTTAGATCGAAGTCTTAATTGCATTTTATAATGCTACCAAACTTATTCAAACGAATGACTATTTCGGTACAGAAACATGTTAGGGATATGGCATAAGGGGGCCTAAGAAGACGACGTGCAAGCTGCTCTGCACGCGTTTTACGCAAGAGCATCCGGGTGATGGAAGGCCGGCTATCCTCAACCCACGCTGGTTCTGACCCAGCGGGGTATTCCGTAGGATAACCCATTCTAACCGGCGCCATCTAGGCGGGCTCCGGATAGCCTGCCGACCGAAAGGGCTGGTGGTCGTGGCGCCGACGACCGCCGGTCCGGCGTCCCGAGGGGGAGGGTGATGTGAGAGATGTGCTCCGCACTAAACGCTTCACTTTCCCTCCTTTGCCTTTTCATGAGTTCTGTCTCATGCGAGGTTTGGACGTTGATTGTTGAGCAACAGGAGGTTTTCGACTCTGACATACCTCGCCCTCCATCCCCAGTGGAGGGCGAAAGTCCGGCGATATCCTCCTGACCAAAAAAAAAAAAAACACAACTTAATCTATATACGAGTATGTATGTTCTTAATATGTAAAACAAAGTCGGGTTTGTTTGAAGACTTATAACTCTAGAACGGCTAGACGGATTTTCATGGTTTTTGATTTGTTGTAATTGTTTCCGTCCCGAATAACAGAATAACTATTATATTAAAAACAATGGAAAAAATTACGGAAAAAATAATATAAAAGAAAAAATATTTTCCAATACAAAAAGGTTCATGGGTTTCGTAACGATCCAAACATTTAATGTTCATCCCGTTTATACGGTATACCCTCTCCTCAAAATAAAGAACGTATTTAAATACAGGTTTCGAATCGACAAGATATATTCACAATATTTGGATAATGGCGTATTTTAGATTTAAAAAAATAAGTAATAAAAAAGATTTGACGTAGGTATATATTTTTTGTCAAATATTTATGCGTGCGTTCAGAAATATATTTGGTTTAAACTAAGGAAAATATATCAAGCTACGATGTGTCAAGCCTGGATTATGCTGCTTTAATGGCAAAGGAATATTTGGTTCAGCTAATATGACACATCTAATAAGACATTCATTGACTGCTAGGTAGTACGAAGTTCGATGGGTCAGCCAGTTTTTAATAAATACGTTGCGTAATAAAAAAAATGTAATAAAATAAAATAAATCCGTTTTAATTTTAGGCGGTGTAGCTGTATTAGCGTGCAACGCAACAGCGGCGAACCACTGGTCGCGCGACGGTTGGAAGTTAAACAACAACCCTGCCTCGACCGTTTATCGCGTTTTGTGGGCAGCTTTGGAGCCTGCCGTGTTCGCATACACTGGAACCTACTTTGAAGTAAGAAAAATATTTTTTTTATTGCTTAGATGGATGGGCGAGCTCACAGCCCACCTGGTGTTAAGTGGTTACTGGAGCCCATAGACATTTACGACTTAAATGCGCCACCCACCTTGAGATATAAGTTCTAAGGTCTCTGTATAGTTACAACGGCTGCCCCGCCCTTCAAACCGAACCGTATTTCCTATTTCTGCCGTGAAGCAGTAATGCGTTTCGGTTTGAAGGGTAGATGTCTATGGGCTTCAATAACCACTTAACATCAGGTGGGCTGTGAGCTCGTCCACCCAACTAAGCAATAAAAAGTCTAGGTCATGGAGCCTACACTACAGCCACAGCGCGTACGCAATATGGCCGATTGTGCAAACACCTGACTTAAGAAACAGCATTTAGTTTTCACTGAAACAAAATCTTTCCACAATTGTCATATCCTATTATTTACTCCAAAATTTACCACAACGAAACCACGACACACCCTAGAGCTATATTATGTGCATACAAACATAACGATCACGATTGAATCGTAGCGGAAATCAAAATAGTGCCACCAATTTAGAGGAATACATCTAGTTAAAATGAGGATTGTTAAATCAATTAATCCAACGGCTTACGCACATTGTACAGGCTTCATAGTAACTATTTCGCAGTGGTGGCAGTTATTGACATGACATCATAAGAAAATCAGTATCAATGTCGATAAATTATTGTTCAAAGTAGCGCTTTAATTAAATCGTGCATTTAGCATTAGCATCAAAACATGGAAACATCGCTTCGTTAAATACAGAACATTCAGTTACCTAATTACATATATAAATTTATTTTTTTCAGATAATACATTCAATAACTGACACAATACTAAAAGGGTTTGGAATCCTATTAGTTTGTTTAGCTGTGAGACTAGCGTGCGCTTTCCTGATGTGTTGGGATATGAGCATCAAGGAAAGAATTTTTATATGTTGCAGCTGGACGCCAAAATCTATTGTGGAGGTAAGCATTTTTTTTTTAGCCCACATATGTCCGCTTCTGGGTATGACCCTCCTCCGGTATTGGTCATAATAACCGGTCCTGCGCAGCCTGCGCCCAGCAGATTCCCGCAATCTTCAACAAATCGTTGATCTACCACGCGGGAGGCCTACCTACGCTACGTTTTCCAATCATTTATTTTACTGGTGGTAGGACCTCTTGTGAGTCCGCGCGGGTAGGTACCACCACCCTGCCTATTTTTGCCCTGAAACAGTAATGCGTTTCGGTTTAAAGGGTGGGGCAGCCGTAGTAACTATACTGTGACCTTAGAACTTATATCTCAAGGTAGGTGGCAGTAATATTCTCTGCGTCGACCATGTCCTCTCGTGGCAATAGCTCCGACTGGGCCCCAGCCCGCTCCGGAGTCGGGCGCCGGCTGTGAACGGCAGGAGTTTTTGGTGAGGTTTAACTCACACATACCCCACATAAAAATACCTCATCCCATTTACACCACAATAAAAATAAATAATAATAAAATAAAATAAAAAGTTTTCTGATGTACAGTAGTCACTAGAGAACTTTTCAGTCCCAGCGGCCATTTGTTCTTCGAGCAAGGCGCCCTACCCGCTGTCAATTCAACCTTGCTACCCTTCGGACTATGTCAATTACTTTGCGAATTTCCTCATTCCTGATCCTTGAGTGACTGTTTGAGCCTTCTGATTAAATAACAAAAACAATGCGTCGTATTCAAAGACTCCATTTCTTCCTCTTTTCCACTAAAAATACACGTACGAGACAAGTACAATTCCAAGTACCATATACAACTCCAAATATTTCCAAGATCTCGGAGCGATTTAGCCTTTAGCAATATCTATACTAACTCTAACCTTGACTTCGACTTTCACTGCGGTGTTGTTTCCTCATTTTAGAATTATTTCGTAAATAGTGCTGCATACATATTTCCTTAGAAAGATTGTTGCCTTATCTGTGGGCTTTGTATCCCAATATAGTCACATCACTCAGTACGAGTACATCGTGCATCTTAGGCTTTAATAAGCCTAGGGACACCTCCTTCTCTGCCTGGGTTCTGACCCGGACGTCAGTTGAGAGAGTGCAAGGGGAGTCGTTTAGTGGGTAGTGCCCTAAAACATTCTTAGGCCCGCGATCTGCTCTCAACATCTACAGACCTCAAGTCCACACATACCTCGCGCACCCCCTAAGCGTGTAAGGTTGGTATGAGGATAGAAAAAAAAGGTTTTAGGAGACCAATAATACTTTTTACTACAATTTTACCGTGTTCGGAAACATAAGAAAATCGAGACGTTGTTTTCTTAAATTTTTTTGGTTCAGGCCTTTTATTCTGTTGACCTTTATTTAGATCTTCATGACACCTATTTTGGGTTTTTAATGTAAAACTATATCTATGTTTAATTATAATATCACTTTAAAGAAGAATTAGCACCTTCTAGAATATTTCACGATAAAGGAATAATGATGAATCCAAATAATAATAAAAAAATAAAACCCTTAAAATTATTCCTTTTTGTGCACTTATTAGATTTACCACGGGTCCCACAGTGCTTACTATTTCTGTCCGAAGCAATAATACTTACCAGCTCGAAGGATCAGGTGCTCATTACACATTAAAATTGAAACTTTGATCTCATATCCCAAAAGTACCTGTATGCAGATGATCTACAGATCTATACGCAAACTTATTTATCAGAACTGACCAACGCGATGAAGATGCTGAATAACGACTTATCGATATTGTCCCGTTGGAGTAATTCACATGGATTGAGGGTGAACCCGTCGAAGACACAGGTTATTTCTAGCGGTAGTTCAAGAATGTGTTCGAAAGTGAAATGGTCGCAGCTTCCGGCTATTTTACTTGACAGTGTACAAATTCCTATCAGCGATACTGTGAAAAATTTGGGTATCTTAATTGATAAAAACCTTTCATGGAATGCACAGATAAAAGAGGTTAGCCGGAAAGTGTTTGCATCAGCTGGATCTTTGAGAGGGTTACGAATTTTTTTTTAAACTGCCACTAATACTGCGCTTGCACAGTCTTTACTTTTTCCAATTCTTGAATACGCCGATTCCAGCTATACTGATCTAACCGAAACACAATTTGATAAACTTGAGCGGCTACAAAATTTCTGTATAAGATTCATATTTGGGCTACGGAAATATAATCATGTATCTGAATTTCGCGCTAAGCTTAGTGGTTGCCAATTCGCCTTCGCCGTAATACTCATATCCTTTCCTTGTATTCTCTTTTACCCCCATACGCCTACATATCTCAAAGAACGTTTCGAATTCCTAAGTGATACTCATAATTTTCCCCCGAGATCATCGGATAGCCTGAGACTTAAAATGCCGACGCATTCATCTTCATTCTTTGATAATTCATTCACCATCCAGGCGGTTCGATTGTGAAATGCTCTGTCAGATGCAGTGAGAAGTGCTCCAACTTTAAACTGCTTTAAAAGAATGATGAAGGAACATTACTTATCTGCTTAGTGTTGTTTATTTGTATCATTATCATTTATCATTTCCATAATTTTGATCAATTTATATGTATGTAAGTATGTACTCGTATATTGGTATATGAATCAAATAGTTATTTCATATTATATGTAAACGGTATGTATATATCTGTTTATTGTATGTATATATTTTTTATATTAATCTATTGTCAATAGTACACCGCAACATACCTGCTATATTTTTATATTTTCCAGAATTTCTCTAAATTAAACGGCTGTCTGGAAGAGATCGCTTTTAGCAATAAGACCGCCTACTGTACAAATCTATCTGCGTTTTGACGATTTTTGAATGTAAATTGTGTTTTGGTGTGCAATAAAGTGTGTTCTCTCTCTCTCTCTCGCTCTACCTATTGTGGAAGAATTCATCCTGATATCTGTGTGCTATATTCACCACTTTACGTCAGATAGGCTATGAGCTCTACATATCTAACGAAATAACTTATATAAAAATAAAATAAAACGAGTAGACATAGTAACGGAACTTCCTAGAGCCCAGTTCTTATAATTTTTAAATGAGCCACTATTTTGTTTCAGGCCGTACTATGTCCGCTGGCACTGAACACATTAATTTTACGAGGAGGAAAAAACGAACAAGAGATGGAATACGCAGAGCAACTAATGAGGCTAGTTGTTCAAGCAATTCTAGTAACAACTCCTGTTGGTTATTTGTTCACCAAGCATTTGGGACCGGTGCTGTTACGAGACAAACGCAAAGAATTTCGGAACGGTAATAGTTTTTTTTTATTTTTTTTTATTGATTATATGGTAGATTAGCCCATAGACATCTACAACGTAAATGCGCCACCCACCTCGAGATATAAGTTCTAAAATTCAGTATAGTTACAACGGCTACCCCACCCTTCGAACTGAAACACATTACTGCTTCACGGCGGAAATAGGCGAATCACAACTGAACCCTTTTTGGTATACAGGGTAGTTTGTTAAAATGCGATTGCACTGTTCAAGCCCTTAATAAAACTGTATGGATAGTTTGAAACAGACTTTTAACATAAACCCTGGTAAAGAGAGAGCAATCTGAAGCCATACGCGTTAGTATTACTATATCTTTTGTAAAGTAATCATATTTGAGCCGTTCCCGTGTCTCAAGTCATGTCCACAGTGATAGCACTCTGCCCTTGGCTAAGCTCCGATTACTGCTGTTGAGGTAATCAAACAAGTTCTGGTAATCATCAAATTTTAATTTCATTTTTTACTTCATCTTGAAGTCAAAATCACCTTTTTAGGTTTTTTATATATAATATTATAATAATACCCTTTAACCTTTTGTTCTTTCAGAGTCCGAAGCATGAAAACGAAACATATACAAAAGATCTCTTCATTAGTGAATTCAAATACTGAATAAGAAAAAAAAAGTTATCTTATAGTATTTATTTGTAAATATTTTTATGATAATTTTATATTTAATAGTGTAATTATATTTAAGAGCTTCTTTTTAAGTTTTAAAAATTAGCTCTTCGTTTAGCTATTAATTACTGCAAAATTATATTAAAAACTTTTAATAATACCTGGGTATCCTTGTTCTTATCTACAATTATTTCTCCTTTGATTTTTCCGTCTTAGTTTTTTTAGAAAATATCACTATTAGTTCTAATTTATTAATTTCTATTTCTTACTTTCATCGAACGTGAAGAATAGCACATTGTATTCTAAGTGAATATTTTAGTTGGATTTAATTTTTATAATTACTCCATAGATGAAATATTTAGTTTATTCTATCCTGACATTGTGGTCTGTAGGCACATCGATAATTCTTCCTTCTTTTTTTTTCTCTACCTAATCATTGGTAGCCTAAGGGGCTATTCCACCGGTTCCCTCGGTCGACGGGCCGGGAGCGCGCCTTGATGGGAATCCGGTGATTTTCTCATGTAAAAGAAAATGGAATTATTCCAACTAGGCGCGGTAGGTGAGCTCACGGGCTCAACCTGAGAGAATTGCTAGCACTGACCCTAGCAATAGCAGTGCTTCGCTGAAGCCACCACCTGAAATCGCGACCCACTGAAAAGATCCGACGAGAAACTCAGTGATTGCTTCTTCTTCTAAAGTGCTTAATTACAAATTATTATTTTTGAATGGTGGGACAGCATTTAAGCTATATCATTCAGATTTCTCACTAATATTTGAATTGATCGCATCCACACTAACTAACTAAAACCATTTAATACCAGATGAAGTCGTGAATTCATCTCTTACTAAACATTTTTGTTGAAAAAGAAATGGTTGGAAAATATTAAAATTTCGACGAATAACACCTCATACCTCCTTTTCACAATGAAAACTTGACAGCTTTCTGAATGTAATATGAATCTGAATGTAATAAATCTTAACTAATTTCAAAAAAGAAGGAAGCTCTATATGCAACCTAATATTAAGTGGATCCCTGAGATAGACATCAAGTCGTGACTCTCAACTATATTGACAGACCGAATCTACACTTAGACTTAATATTGATTCACGATGATCAGTATTAAAAGTTTTGCCTTACTATAAAGGTGTACTAAATAATTGAGGGTCTCTAGGGAATTATTGGATATGAACCCGTCATCTCCATAACATGGCACCACCCGATTGGTGCAGAATTCATGGCTACTATGTGTAAACCTCTGCTTGTTATTCCAACTTACGTTTTAAGAGATCGTTTTTTCCGTCGATTCCGGCTCTGGAGTGATCGTCCGCGGGGTTTCCTGAACGCTATGATATGCCTTTCCTCAAGGGGGCTTCTAAAGAGTCTTGAATAGAAGGCAGTGACTTGGCTTTGCAGTTTGCTCACAACAATGTTGATGTCCCAATACGCTAGTGACTGATCGTCAGGAGGCCAATATGATCATATTTATATTAAAAGCAAAAAAAAGACTTTTTTGAGTAAATTCCTAACGCACTTTTAAATAATAACATGAAAATAGAAAGCATAACTTAGACTAAATAAAAAATATTGTAAGAGCCATCTGTTGAAAACCATGTGAAGCTTCAACCACAGCGTCTGGAAACTGTTAGGAAGCCATTTCTGTAAAATTTTCTTTAGGACTTTGAAATGATTCTAAGTTTAACCGATAGATGTCTCTGTAACCAATAAATGGTTTCTTTTCATAAAAAGTTAATTGTAAAGATTTTTGTGGATATTTTACAAAAAAAATTACCTATAGTTAATTTATGAATTTGTCAACATATTCATAAATTAACTAAATAATTATGATCACTGCGATTTAAAATACAAATAATATTCATGAAGGCAATTGCTATTTGTGTTAATTTGAAATGAACAGTGTGCTTATTTCGAGTTTTTTAACATTGTCGTTTTGTCACAGTGCCCCTAGTAGCAAACGTTCCAACTCCATGCAAATTTGAGTTAACTTTTACGCTTTCGAGAACGTTAAAAAACTCTCACTAAGCACACTGATCGTTTTCGGCAATAATTTAAATTCCTAAAAAAACGCAAACTGCGCGAGCTACTATCTCTTTTAACGTGTAAAAATGAAAAATTTTTTTTTTTTTATTGCCCTTGTAGGCAGACGAGCATACGGCCCACCTGATGGTGAGTGGTTACCGTCGCCCATGGACTTCAGCAATGCCAGGGGCAGAGCCAAGCCGCTGCCTACCGTTTAATACTCTCCACAAGCCTCGTTTGAAGAAGGACATGTCATAGCGCTCGGGAAACACCGTGAAGGGGAGCTCATTCCATAGCCGGANCTTAATACTCTCCACAAGCCTCGTTTGAAGAAGGACATGTCATAGCGCTCGGGAAACACCGTGAAGGGGAGCTCATTCCATAGCCGGATGGTACGTGGCAAAAAAGACCTCTGGAAACGCACTGTGGATGACCGCAGTGGCTCCAGGTAGTATGGATGAACTCTACTCCGGTGGCGGGCGGTGCGATGGTAAAAACGAGATACCGGTATCATCTCGAAATATAAAAATTTTCTTTGAACTAGCTTTAGGGAGTCCGGACCACGAGCCGCGTCGTGAGGTTGCTCGTTGTCCCGTCTATCATTTTAATATAATGCATTATTTCGGCCCACCTGATGGTGAGTGCTTACCGTCGCTTTTGAACATGAGCTATGAATGTAAAGTATCTAAAGTAAAAAAAAAAAAAAACTACAGAAATTCATCAACAGGATTTCCAACAATACAACGCCCGACTATACAATATTTAGCCACCTGGCAAATATTGAGAGAGCTTGTTTGAGAAGTGTCAATGCACAACCTCTTTTTAATTCCGACCTTACACCCTCAGATTTTTACCGGTTTCTTTCTCTCCTGAATTAGGTATGTAGACTACGTCGCAGGTAGGTAGGCAGCGGCTTGGCTCTGCCCCTGGCATTGCTGAAGTCCATGTTCGACGATAACCACTCACCATCAGGTGGGCCGTATGCTCGTCTGCATACAAGGGCCGTAAAAAAAAAAGTCAAAATTTTATTAGTGGCACAGTACTTACTTCCTAAAGTTGCATTGATGGTATGCATTGCTATGCGGATGATAGCACGGGGGATGCGCGATATATCGGCCATCAGAGTCTCTCTCGAAGCGTTGTACACGAGAGGCGATTAAAACTTGTGTCTGAAGTGGAGAACTCTCTGGGGCGGGTCTCCAAGTGGGGTGAACTAAATTCAGTTCAGTTCAACCCATTGAAGACACAGATTTGCGCGTTCACTGCGAACAAGGACCCTTTTGTCATGGCGCCGGAATTTCAAGGAGTATCCCTGCAGCTTTCCGCGAGTATCGGTATTCTGGGGGTCGATATTTCGAGCGATGTCCAGTTTCGGAGTCATTTGGAAGGTAAAGCCAAATTGGCCTCTAAAATGTTGGGAGTCCTCAACAGAGCGAAGCGGTATTTCACGCCTGGACAGAGACTTGCGCTTTATAAAGCGCAGGTCCGACCTCTCGCGGATCGCTTGGAACCTCTGGGTCTACGGAGGGACTTCGGTTCTCTCTGTGTTTTATACCGCATGGTCCATGGGGAATGCTCTGAGGAATTATTCGAGATGATCCCCTCATCTCCTTTTTATCATCGCACCTCCCGCCATCGGAGCAGAGTTCATCCATATTATCTGGAACCGCTGCGTTCATCGACAGTGCGTTTCCAAAGATCTTTTTTGCCACGTACCATCCGGCTTTGGAATGAACTCCCCTCCACGGTGTTTTCCGAGCCCTATGACATGTCCTTCTTCAAACGAGGCTTGCGGAGAGTACTTTATGGTAGGCAGCGGCTTGGCTCTGCCCCTGGGATTGCTGACGTCCATGAGTGACGGTGACCACTTACCATCAGGTGGGCCGTATGCTCGTCTGCCTACAAAGGCAATAAAAAAAATTGAACGACGGTACCGATTACGAGTAGGTATAACAGTATCTACAAAATGGCAGCAAGATATTGAATAAAAGTCATATAATTATTTTAATCTTTAAATAAACCATGATTAAAAAATTGTCTTGAATTTGTCTATAGAATAAAAAGAATCTTTTCCCTGCAAAGTATTTAATATTTCAATTGTCACGAGAACGAGAAACGCGTCTTTATATGGTGACAAAGAGAACGAATGTTAATTATGTAAGTTATTTATACGAACAAATAGACAGAGACGATCCCTTTAATGAGTGGGTCGGCATCAGGCGCACAGCACAGGAGCGAGTGCGTCGCGCGCTCTCATACAGCCGTGCCGTCCGCGCGGGCTGCGCCATGCCATGCGGCACTCTGGCGCACGCGTCACTCCACGAGATGATCTTCTCCAGTGACAAGTGATTGTGTAAATTCTGAATCGAACGTCCGTAAACAACAACATTAGATCAACCAAGACCACGCGGGTTCAAGGATTCTACGTGGTCACAAGCAGGTGCTAACACAATAGATCTCCAAATCACGTATCTAGCTACTGACTATATAATATTATTATTAGTTTTTTATCAACGCTCTCTCGCCTTCAAGGCAAATATCTTATCAAACAAAGGAATATCACTTCCGATTGTTCGCCATACTTTGAGAATCAGTGGAAGTACAACTCAATATTTTTTAGTGTCGAGAAAGATGCTTGTCTAGATAAATAAACCAAGATGAAATCGCGCGATCATCGCGATGTTAAACAAGATCTTCGAGGTAAAAACGAAAATAAAATAGTCAAGCTAGATAAGGGAATTAAACACGACGGAAAAGGAGTCAGACGAACACCGATCAAAGGAACCAATGAAGGAGGTCAACAGCGAACCAAACGCTCTGGAGTGGAAGCAGTGAAACTGCATCTGAAAGCGACTGGTGGAACAGGCAGAACTTCGCGCTCTGCAACATCGGTAATAAACTAAAGTATTTTATTTTAAAATCTTGAAAGTTCGATCAGTGATAAATAACATCGAATTTCTTTTTATTTATTCAATTATTAGTTTATTCAAGCCACATTCAAAGTTTTAAACCTAACTCTGTCTGATAGGTGGCAAAATAATTTAACACAAAAATACGTGTACGACATAAATTATTTAGAGTAATAGCAATATGTAATGAATTTACATTTACTTTAAAATGTTAAATGCAAGAACATTATTCAGACTTTGACGCAAAAGTCATGTGATCCATTTATCACAACGCTGAGATCGTGACAAATGAAGATTATCGACCACTGGAAAGGCTTAAATACTACAATCACCTTGAGAATGACAACATAAAGATAATAACTCTTACGATAAACTTTAGTTTAAGGGCTTCAATAGGTAGGTGAACACAAAATATCATAAACATGTATACAAAAATGTCGTCTAGATCATTCTTTTATAAAAGAAATTACGTCCATACAACATCATGCATATACATACTTATATACACGATAAATTAATTAAGATGAACTAAATAATTAGACATGCAAATGTATGCATATATTCTAGAATTACAATCCGTTTAAATTTAACAAATAAGACTGAAGCATTTTAATAAGTAATAATTGCGTGCTGTATAATGACAAATTGAATTTAATTTCAAACGAAACGGAGCTGCAATGATTGTGTTTCAGCGTGTTAAGAATTCAAGTTACAGTCAGGCTATTAAAAATAAACAGCTCTTATTCATTGTGAGACCTCAATATCGACCGGAAAGATTGTTGTTAGTTAAAACAATAACTTTGTCATTTGCTTGTTTTGAAATTCGACGACTGAATTTTAGCATTTCACTGAATAACTTCGATGTATTTCATATCAGCGACTCCATATTGTCACTGGGTCTAAGATAATAGAGCACTTGACGCCTCTGGGTCTCATTCCGATACAAGCACCCGTCGCGTGCGGATGTGCTCATCGACCGTTCGTTCTCCCGACTTCGATTGACATCTGGCGTCCAAGTGTTTTCTTGGAAGTGACTACCTGTGCTAATTGCGTCGCATCGCCATCTGTGAACGAGCGGACCTCTGAATTCGTGTAATTCGTTCGGCAACTCAGTGGCCCGTAGCGAACTGACGGCTGTGCGCTGTGATTAATTAATTTGGAGCTTCGCCGTAAGGCAAGTGTGCTTAAAGTCCCGAGGCAGCCCCCCCCCCCCTGGGTACGCGTCAATCGTAATGGAGTCCACGATCGACCTGTTACGGGAATTCCTCCGCTTGAGGTACCCATCGCTATCGGCAGAACTCTTAGAATTTAAGACCCATCACGGCGCGAGCTCGCCCGCGGTCGCCGTCACACCCGTCGCTCTCGCGTCATCCACCACGGCCTCTGTCTTGCTCCCATCGTACACCGCGGATTCCATCGCGTTCACCGCTTCCGTATTCTCGATATTCGCACGAAAAATTAGTAAAGACGCGAACACGTCGCGCTCCCGCTCCCAACCCCTGTCGCTCACCCTGCCCGTATTACACCGTCGCTACGTCCAGTGGTACAAAGCAATACTCGAACCCCTCCCCCTGGTAATCCTGGAAGAGAAGGCAGCTTGGGACCGAATTTCCTTCGCCCTTAAGGCCAAAGATATCAATTTTGTTAGTGCCCGAAACCTCGCGAATGGGATTCAAATAAAAGTAATGACACCCGACGACCGTAGGGCCCTCTCAAGCTACCTCCGAAAAGAGCATATAAGTCTCTACACTTATACACTTCAGGAGGAGCGTGAACTCCGCGCGGCCGATCTTCTCGAACACGGCCTACCCGAAACCCCGTGCACCCCTCCCCCGCGACCTGCCCCTCCACCGCGACCTGCCCCTCCGACCGCGTCCGACAATCTTGCTCTAGCGATCGACTTTTTTCCGTCGATCAACTTTGAACGCGTTAACATTGTGAGTGACGCCATCCGCTCGCCTCCACTGCACAACACTTCATCGCCGTTGTGCAGGCATACGCAGACGTATACGCGTCGTTAAATACGTACGTCCTCCCCTCACTCCGCCGGTAATCAATGGTGTACATAAGTAGAATAAAACCCCTATCCATTATGTTATGATTTTTTAACGTTTACGGTCTCGCAAATCAACGTGATCAGGTTTGTAATTTTTTGCGTGTCCATCAAATTGACATATGTTTAGTGCAGGAGACTTTAGTAGTTATTTAGTATAGAAGAGCTCTGCATTGCGTCCCACTCGATCTCCCCGCGCTCGCTAACATCGAAGCATCACATTGGTATGCCGAATCTGACTTTTTTTTTCTATTTCGTCACTCCGCTAACCCCGACTCATTAACTGCTAAATATCGCGCATCGCCCGGATATACTCGACATAGCGTTATTAAAAAACGTAACTCTGCGCTTACACTCGATCGAAGTAGTTTTAGAGTTAGACTCAGACCACCCTCCCGTCGTTATGAAGCTCGGTCGCGCTCACAATTCCGTTCCCGTCTGTAAAAAACTATGGTGGATTGGCATACGCTGGGCATCAGTCTAGCTGAATCAGATCCACCATCGCTCCCATTCAGCACAGACTCTACCCTATCCCCTGAGGATACCGCTGAAGCCATAGACATCATAACGTCACGCGTCAACTTGACCTTAGATAGATCTTTGATGATCAAGTTGTAGCGGAGGACTTCCTTCACTGCCTCAAGCTGTCCGACGATATTAGTGAACCCCTTAGAGTCAAAAATGCCTCGATCCGCGCCTACGATAGATATCCTACTGAGGCAAATCGTATTCGAATACGTGCGAATACGACGTAAAATCTCGCATCGCCAAGTCCGAGATGTCAGATGTTCTGATTTCTTAGTACTCGCGCCCTCCCAACGGTCTTACTACCGCTTAGCTCGTACTCTCAAATTGGATACGGTAGTAACTATACCTCCCCTCGTAGGCCCCTCAGGCCGAATCGCGGCGTTCGATGATGACGAAAAAGCCGAGCTGCTAGCCGATACATTGCAAACCCAGTGCACGCCCAGCACTCAATCCGCGGACCCTGTTCATTTAGAATTAGTAGACAGGGAGGTCGGACGCAGAGCCTCCTTGCCACCCTCAGATGCATTACCACCCGTTACACCGATGGAAGTTAAAGATATAATCAAAGACCTACGTCTTCGCTAGCCTTCCGGTTCCGACGGTATATGTAACTGTATTATTATATTTCTACCCGCCCAACTCATTGTGATGTTGGTATCTATTTTTAATGCCGCTATGACGAACCGTATCTTTCTCGTGGTGTGGAAAGAAGCAGACGTAATCTTCATACATAAGCCCGGTAAACTGGTTACTGGAGCCCATAGACATCTACGACGTAAATGCACCACCCACCATGAGATATCAGTTCTATGATCTCAGTATAGTTACAACGGCTGCCCCACCCTTAAAACCGAAGCACATTACTGCTTCACGGCAGCAATGGGCAGGGTGGTGGTATCTACCTGCGCGGATACACAAGAGGTCCTACCACCAGTAGAAGGACATACTCATAGATGAAAAATTTGGATTCCACGCAAATCACTCATGCGTACAACAGTTGCATCGCTTCACGGAGCACATTCTCGTAGGGCTTCATCGATCAAAACCGCTCTACACAGGAGCCTTCTTCTTCGACGTCGCAAAAGCGTTCGACATCAGCTTGATTTTCAAACTATTCAACATAGGCGTGCCGGGCTTACCGGATTTCTTGTCGAACCGCTCTTTTCGATATTGAGTCGAGGGAACCCGCTCCTCCCCGCGACCTCTCACGGCTGGAGTCCCGCAAGGCTCCATCTTCTCGCCGCTCCTTTTTAGTTTATTTATCAACAACATTCCCCGGTCGCCGAAGACCCAGTTAGCCTTATTCGCCGACGATACAACCATTTACTACTCAAGTAGAAACAAGTCTATAATTGTAAGTAAATTCCGGAGCGCAGCCGTAACCCTCGGACAGTGGTTCCGAAAATGGCGCATAGACATGAACCCAGCAAAAAGCACAGTAGTGCTATTCCAAAAGGGAAACTGAACGCGTATTTCCTCCCGCATTAGGAGGAGAAATTATTACATCCCCGATCACCCTCTTCGGCCAACCTACACCCTAGGTCAGGAAGGTGAAGTACCTGTGAGTCACCCTGGATGCATCAATGACATGCCCGTCCGCGACCGTTCCGCGTTTATTTTCGGCAGACTGTACCCCATGATCTGTAAGCGCAGTAAAATGTCTCTTCGGAACAAAGTGACACTTTACAAAACTAGCATTAGGCCCATCATGACTTACACGAGTGTGGTGTTCGTTCACGCGGTCCGCACACACATAGACACCCTCCAATCTCTACAATCCCGCTTTTGCAGGTTATCCGTCGGAGCTCCGTGGTTTGTGAGGAGTGCTAACCTGCACGACGAACTGGACCTTGAATCTATCCAGAAACCCATGAAGTCAGTGTCGGAACGGTACTTTAATAAGGCGTCATGATAATCGCCTTATCGTTGCCGCAGCTGACTACTCCCTGAATACTACACACACGCAGGAGCCATTACATCCAATAACCCTTGCATTAGACATATTTAGCTCTAACACTAGGAGCAGGCCTAGGGACTAGTACTCGTCAAACTCAGTAAAGAATTCGTCGTGCAACCTAACCATAACATCAGCCCGCTAAGTTTCTCGTCGGATTTTCTCTGCAGGTCGCGATTTCGATTCGGTAGTAGATTCATTCGCGAAGCAGCTACTCTTGAGTTGTTAATTTCTTTTAGAGGCACTCGGATAGCTGTTAGCAAATCCCACCACTACAGGCTGCGCCCTTGCTCGCCCATCTATCCTGGTGAAGCTGTTATTACCTCCGGGCCACCACTAATCCCTCAATCATAAAAAATACCTAGGAAGGGACTTAGATTTTCTATATTTATAGCCAAGAAAATCGAAAGGTTGTCTAATTATTCCTCTGTTTATACCGTATATCCC